TTTTCATAACTAGAAATCGTACAGGTGTTTCTGATACTTTACTGCGTACAATTTTATTCATTTTATATACATAACTTAAATTGACCACTTCATCAAGTATTAACGAGTCTTGACGTAATGGATAAAATAGCGGTTCTGGTGCATTCGATTCACTTGATGGACTTATATCTGGATTCGATGGACAACGTTTATTCTCTGCTAATGATTTACCCATTCTGTCAGAATTGACTTCCATTTCATTACTAAATGACATTGAACGCTGAAAATTATCGTGTTAAAAAAAAAGAAGAAATACAAAAATATAATGTTTTTAATCAATCAGTTAGGTAATAATACGAAATGATGTCAACGTTAATGTTCTACATTGAGAAGTTAAGACAGTCTGGTCTCCCTCATTATAATAAAGCTTTTTGTATTTCTCAATGAATGAAAAACAAAACGATATTGCTGTTTTTACTGACACCTCGCTATTTAATGGCAATAATAGCTTATCAAAGTAGTATTATTTAACCAGAATTTACAAAATCCACTCAGCTTATATATAACAACTTAATCCTCCATGGTTCCTCAGTATGGGGTCATTTTTCCGTTGTCAAATTGACCAATCTCATAAAGATAACAAAACCAAATGCAGATTGTTGGATTTGATAAGTGTGCAAAATTATAACAGCAGCGTGTGTTTACAAAGTGAAATTGCTTATCACATTCGTGTTGATTTTGTCACTTCATGGGGAGGCGAGTGTTGTAACCAGGTCAAATTCTGTTTTATTCCATCATTCCTATTCAGATAATTTGGATTCCACTTGATATGAAGTGCTTCTGATATTAGACGTTCCTTGTGATTTCTGAAGTTTTTCTAGATGATTATTTCAATATTGTCAGAATCAATTTTGTGGCCTGATTCTATAGCGTGTAGACGACCTATGGATGATGATTTTTCAAGCTTTTCTAGTTCAACTGGATTTATTTTTCGGTGGTCGAACAGATGCTCTACGGGGTTCATTTCTTCTGATTTTGATTTCTCTCTGGAGATATTTGTCCGATGTACATGGCATCACATTCCGAGTATTTTATTTCATAGACGCAATTAGATAGAGAATCTTTAGGGATTTGGTCTTTTATGTGGACAAAGTTGTTTCACAGTGTGCGTGTCTGATGTTTTGAAGAAAACTTTTATTTTGAGCTTATTGAGTACTCTTCTGATATCGTATGAGGTCTACGGTCTATATGGAATGACAACTGTTGAGGTCCATCTCTTTGGAATGTTTTCGACCATATTTACTGTCTGTGTTGATTTTGTTGATATAGTTCCTTGTGTAGTTGTTTTTCTTGAACATTTCAGTAATTTGAACAAATTTGAACTTGCAAATTACCTCCATCTCTCAAAAATCTTCAACGCATTACAAAATCGCATTTCAGTGATGTTTGATATTTCTTCTTCTTTTTCTTTCTCATCCGTTATCAGAGAGAGTGCTCGTCTAAGAAGACTTGAAACAACTGATATCTATGCGCTTATAGAGGGTGATGATCCGAAGTTTATATATTTGTTGTTGGAGTGGGTTTTCTTCCTGAATATGAATATACTAAAATGTCCGTTTTCCCTCCTCTTAGCTAGGCAGTCTAGAATTGGTAGTTTACCGACGTCTAATTCTGCCTGATTCCGAGGTAAACTGGGTTCTGGGAGATAGACTGTTTATTTTCTCCAAGATCTCATTTTAGCACTACAAAAATATCATCTACATGTCTTAACCATATTTAGTTTGTGATTCTAGGTATTGTCAATAAAAGAACTTCAAGTTAACTTCAGGAGTTCGCACTGGGCATTGATGTGCCAAGAAAGACCCAAAACCGTCACTATGGACTAAGAATATATGATACTGGTTTTATCACAGTGACCAGTCAGTGGAAACAGTCGGGAGCGGGAATAACTTAGTAGCAGCATCTTTGACTGCCTTATCGAGTGATTCAAGTTCATATCTCTAAGACGGCGTTGATATTACAGATACGCCTTGTTTACGAGTGCTAATCAGCATAAAACCTAGGTCTAGATATTTCTGTTCATTATTGTCAACTATCTAATAGGTAAAGAGAAACTCATCTAGTTTACTAGCTCAACAGTTTTATAGCCAGTCCCAAGCCCGAGGAAAGAGGAAAGGTTGAACGTGGGGCTTGTGACCCTGCACTACAGAATCAATCGAATGGTTGCAAAAACTTCAAAGCACAAGAAAAATATAAGGAAAAAATTGTTCTTCACTGGAGTCAAAGAGGCGTATTGTTGTGAACTGGTGAACGCCTTCAGGAAGCCAGTCAAACGATGTCTTCTACTGATGAAAGCAAAAATAAGAACTGTGACATACAATGTTTACATAGTGTACGAAGCTGAGAAGGTTGCCAAAGAAATGAGAAGATATGGTACAGAAGTCCTGGAAATCTGTGAGAACAGGTGGAATGAGCGCGAACTATCGAAATTATCAACTGGTGAGTCAGTAATCTACTCCATTTATCCAGACAACAACCACAAACACACTGAAGGAGTGGCATTCACGATTTCACCAACAGTAGTCAAAGTTCTGTTGCAGTGGAAATCAATCTCCTCCAGAATTATAATAGCGAGATCGAACTTAAAAAGAAGAAAGGTCACAGTTATCCAATGCTACGAGCCTACAAACAACTTAGAACAATCGCCAAAACATTGAAGGCGCAGAAGTCTGCGAAGGGTTCTCTTATTCATTTCGCCTAGAGACTCTCGATCCATGTTGAGTTCTCTTCTTGCATTATCTGCTACAAGTTTGGTTTTCCTATCGCTCATGATGATTTTGGCATCACCATTTGGGATGCTGTCCTATACAAATCCTCTTTCTTCTCTTGGAAGCAGCGTGTACACGCAGAAGGATGCAAAATAGGCGACATGGATGTCATGTGATACACATACCATATACCAGATAGATTTTCTCTGAATTTGAAGGAAGTGGAGATGCAGTTTGCTAGACACAAATTCGAGAAGGGGAGCAGATTTGGGCTCAGACCATCATCTAGTTTATGGAACCTTCGAGGTGAAGCTGCGAGGCTTCAAAGCGATTAGAGACAGGCCACTGTAATTCAGGTTCAACATTCAGAAACTGAATGGCTCTCAACAAGCACCTATCTGAAAGCTAATAGAAACAATGAGCGAAGGATGATGAAAGAGAAGATGACTCAATGCAAAGATGGGTAACAGAAGGAGAAGCTGAGTTCAATGTTCATTGTACTGAATAGAGAAGTGGAGAAGAGTGCTGGGAAATACAGAAGACAATTCCATAACACATACTGGCTAGTAACTGAAGCAGAACATGCGTGCCTCAGGTAAAAGAGATCCCAGGATATTATATGAGATAACCAGGTCTTTATCCAGGAGGCAACCAACCCAGACGGTGAAACCAATAAAAGATGCTGAAGGGAACCTGATTATCAAGGAAGAAAAACAAACAAGACAGTGGGCTGATCACTTAAAAGGACTCTTGAATCGACCATCACCTGCAACCCGACCAAAAATACCACTATAACCAACAGCATGCACAGAACTACCTGTCAGTGGACACTAATCCTCCAACAAAGGCAGAAGGCTTCAACGCAATCAAGGAACTGAATGTCCGGCTGGGAAGGCTGCAGCACCAACGGAATTCCCCCACACAGGAGTACTGAAAACTGACCCAGAGACTACAACACATATTCTGGCGCCATTATTGCTAAAGGTTTGGGAGGAAGGAAAGGTGTCTACCGATTGGAAGAAAGGATAGCTACCTTGTCAAACTATTAAGGAAAGGCGACATAGGTCTCTGCAACAACTGGAGTGGAAAAATGCTCTTCTCCACGTCAAGTAAAATACTAAGTCGCATCATTTTGGAAAGAATACAAGATGCACTGGATACAGAACTCCACCTCACCGACCACAACAAGATGGATTCAGGAAAGGCAAATCATGTGCTGATCAAGTTGTAACTCTACGCACTGTCATCATCTGCGAACAAATCATAGAATGGCAATCAAAAGTCCACCACTGGTTGAAGAGGCAGGCAGTGAACACAAGACTGGAGGTGAACACAGAGAAGACGGAGGTGATGAAGATAACCAACCACCGTCAACAGCAACAACAACCAGAGACTTAAAGGAATTTTCCTACTTCACTTATCTGGGGAGCGTCGTTCCAACTACAGGCATACAGAACGGAAGATGTCATAGCCAGTTAGAAGTGGAAAGGCAAGATACGCCTTCATCAACCTAAAACCAGTTTGGAAATTTTCTGCACTCAACCTAAACATAAGGAACAAGGTTCAGATTTTCAGCACCAATGTCAAGTCAGTTAGTGCTTCTATATGGGTTGGAAAGTTGGTCAGTGTGTCACGAAAAGGATTTCCAACAGGCTACTGCAAACTTTCATCAACAGCTGCCCCATTCGCTGGCTGGCTCCATACTGAAGATCAAATGGCCGACTGGCCAGAAAGAATAAGCAACAAGGAACTCTGCAGTGGAACAAACCAACAGGCGAGAGCCGATCGCTCAACAAATATGTATGAGAAAGTGGAGATGGATGGATCGGGCATACATTGAGGAGGCCGCCGAATGACATCGTGAGCAATGCAGGCCATCGCTCGAGTGGAATCCAGTTGGGAAGCGACGATTGGGTCGTCGTTGTGAAGATGACATAGAGGAGATCGTTTGGGGAGGAAGAGATGAGAGAGTTTGATCAATCGTGGACCTATCTGAAGAGGATTGCAGATAAAAGAAAAAAGTGGAGATGTGTTGTTGAAGCCAGCCCTATGTTCCACTCGGAACTCAAGGGAATAATAATAATACTTCTATTGACGTTGTACATAAACTCTTAAAATCCTATCTCATGAAAACTTTGTATTGAAGTGATATTCATATCGTATTGAGAGAAAAATATAATTACACGTTTTTGTTGAAAATCATCTTCAGAAATTAAAGTTTATCAGCAGTATTATGTCGCTTAAATAGCTTACCTTACTCTTAGACAGCTTAACCTCTGCAGGACTTTTCTGATCTTCTAATTCTGTAAATAAAAAAATAAATAAATACAGTTAAATGTTATCAGTTTAGCTATAAAGTGACAAGGATATGATAAAATTTTATGAGTTTTCGGGTTTCGAGCACATCCATTTCTTTTAGATGATATCTTTTACAAATTCATTTATGCTTAAAATTAGATTGTCACTCTAAGCGTCTGACAATTTACATGTAAGGAAGCTAAATGAATTAGTTCTTTTCCTTTTTTTACGAGTTGATCACGGATTGATATCAGTTAGAGAACCATTGAAAACCAGTCACAGGGATACTGGAAAGCTGCTGTTTCATCCTAGTTTTGGGAATTATCGGCAGTACGCACCCACCAGAGGCGGTTCGAACCCAGGACCTTCCGGTTACAAGGCAAGCTCGTATACCATTCAGCCACTGGGACCCGATTCAATGGCGAACACATGAATTCTAACTTCTACCCATTCGTGATTTAGCGCCACCCCAACCATTGTCGTTGGTGGGACATCCATCCACACACGTGACATCTAATTGGACCTCACTGGTCACGACTTCTCACTAGAACTCCAGGAAACTCCATCCTGTAGCAAGTTACTAGCGAGCATCAGATTAATTTTCTAAAGTTTGGTTTGTAAGGGTTACTTAGTTTTTTTTACGAGTTGATCACGGATTGATATCAGTTGGGGTCGCGCTAAATCACGAATGGGTAGAAGTTAGAATTCATGAGCCATTGAATCGGGTCCCAGTGGCTGCTGAATGGTATACGAGCTTGGCTTATAACCGGAAGGTCCTGGATTCGAATCCCAGTGGGTGCGTACTGCCGATAATTCCCAAAACTAGGATGAAACAGCAGCTGTCCAGTACTCCCTGGTTTTCAATGGTTCTCTAACTGATATCAGTCCGTGATCAACTCGTAAGAAAAAAATAAGTAACCCTTACAAACCAAACTTTAGAAAATTAGTTCTTTTCACCTAAATCTGATCAGCATGGCTTAAACTGCAGGCTACATGGATATAGAATGTCAAAAACAATTAAGATAGGATGAGGAAAACATTAGTCTGAACACAGTGTGGTGAGGAGATTCGAATTTTCAGGATTAGTGTCAAGTTAGTACTTCAATATGGTTCAGATGCTTGGATCCTGGATCAATAGAAGCCCTTTCAATAAGCCACAATTCACTTGCATCAACGCCTATTCTCTCTTTACTCTATAATGAAGGTATGAGGGCCTGAAAGCATGCGGAATGCGGAAGTTTGACAGCAAACTATTCAAGAGCTTATTATCTAGCAGTTATGCAGAAGGAAATAGCGGTGGATTGGGTGAACGTTGAGGAGAAAGCTGAGCAACATAACACTGCAATCTGTACTCAAGCCTATTTTCAAATAGACTTTTCCCTGACGCTGTGAAGTTTTATGAAAGAAACAGAGAAAAAGCATAGTGGATTGTGTAGAGTGTCCTTTGGATTGAACAATATTGCTTTAGATGATTTATATTATTGATTTTTAATTTACTTGAAGATTTTACACAATGACTGAGTACTTTTCAATAGAACATGCTAAAAATTCTGCAGTATGTATTGACTCATTTTGCAGTATGAAGTGATCAGTGATCAAGCTTGTCTACATTGGTTGGAATGACTGTTTCCTAAGCTTCCACAGTACTTGGTAGAAGGTAGTGGGATTATGATGCAGTCGAGAATAGATGGTTTGAAAATTGAATAACTCACGACTTGCTTAGCGAAACAGATGGAATCTTACTGCTATCTGCAGTCTATATAACAACAACTTGCAAATGGCTATCCACCACGCTTTATCATTTAACACATGAAGCCCAAAATCAACAAAGAACAACCCATCATCTCTGTGGCGAAGAGGATGTTATACATACAATGTGGCATTCAAAAGCGACCTTCTGGCATAAAATATCTAACGACCTAAAATGAACATTCTCTGCCACTGCATTACGATTGGTATTCTCATGCCGCTAATTGTTCTTCAACAACTCTAAAGATAAACTTCTATGTGTATCTACTAATTTACTTCCTGATGTGGAGCGAGTTACATGTATGTTGTTCGATGCGTTTTTTTATCTAAAAGAAACTAAAAAAACATTATCCCGCTTGTCTACGAAAAGGTAACAGCCGGTCAATAAAGAGTGCTATAACTGGACATAAATTGAACACAAGTTACTCATTATGTAAGGAGAATTCATTCACAGTCATCTACAAAGTCAAAAGAAGTCTGCAGAAAACGGTAAGCTTCTGAATACTTTGTATTGCCGAGGAGGCCTTAGCGATTCGAATGGAAAACGCTGATTTATGTACACAGAAGAAACTCCTCCATTCCCTCCTTCTACGTTGGGTATAAATAAATCCAAGTTCAACTACTTTGTTACTTTGTAAAACATATTAGTAACATCTTTCTTTAAACGAACTATTTATTTATATTTCTGCCTAATATAAAATTTATTTTAGACACTTGTCTCCATGCTCTTTCATAAATTGTGATGATATTAGATTGTTGGAGGCAATCGGTCACAGGAAGCCTTGCTTGACCTAGGTTTCGTGCTAGTTGGCACTCATCAGGTCTGCAACCTTGAAGGAACTCATGTCCCTTCTGAGATTTGAACCCGCGTCATCCAGTGCTGCAGTCAGAGACGTTACCACTGAGCTATTCGGGCTCGCGATTGACCTCCTGTAGGACTGTAGTGGATATTTTGATTTGACACTCGTAACTAGTGTGATAATGGCAAGCTACCTAGAATGGTGGCCACATTATAACCTGACTGACAAAATTCAGTCTGCACCAAAGACAGGACTAGATGCATCACACTAGTTATTAGTGTCAAATCAAAATATCCACTACAGTCCTACAGGAGGGAAATCGCGAGCCCGAATAGCTCAGTGGTAACGTCTCCGACTGCAGCACTGGGTGACGCGGGTTCGAATCTCAGAAGGGACATCAGTTCCTTCAAGGTTGCAGATACGCCTTGCTGACTGGTGAGTGCCAACTAGCACGAAACCTAGGTGCAAGGCTTCCTTTGGCCGATTGCCTCCAACCATCTGATATCATCACAAACAATGTACACCGTGATGGCGAGCTATCTAGAATGGTGGCCACATTACAGCCTGACTGACAGAATTCAGTCTGCACCAAAGAGAAGAATAGATGCATCACACTAGTTACTAGTGTCAAAGCAAATTATCTTTCATTAATATCCTATTTTTCTGAGTGCCTTTAAATTATGTATCCTTAGTCAAGACTCGCTAATCTTTACCCTCCCTTCTAGTTACAATTTTATTATTCATCACATTTTTTGAAACATTTTGTTGACGTAAAGAATAACCCCAACTAATTTGTTTATTCCTGTGTGACAAGCCTGACATATATATATATGTAATTGCTATTGTACAGCTTGTGCGTCGCTGGCACAGCGGTAAAATGCTAGCCAGCCATACAGATGGTTCGGGATTCGATCCCCGGGCTACGCATCCCTTTACCTGTCTAAGCCAGCAATAAGACTGGTAAAGAGGGAAGGTTGGTCATGAGTCTGGCCAGCAACCCTATCCCGTAAAAATAAACACCATTGCTGCTACCAAAACGTCAAGCCTGTAACTTGAAGCCCTATGTTCCAATGGGAACGTAAAGGAATGAATGAATTCGCCGGAGAAAAGAGACACCTTGCTGAACTTTTGTTCTTGCATTCATGAATGGATGGGTATTTTAAGTGAACAATTTACTTTACAAAGAAAATCATTACATATGCAGCGGTATCGCCATCTGTTTTCAAGAGAACTGTTCAATAAATATAAATTCTTTTCTGTCCTCTACGAGAACCTGCAGCTGGTATAAGAATAAAACTTGTGCACTGTGGTAGAGTGTAATTCCATTATGGGTAAATTTTATTTTGATAGAGTCTCACAGTGTTATACAGTAATATTTACTGATGACGTTTCGAGCACAATTTATTGCTCATAATCATATCAAGGTAATCACACGACAAGGGTTCATGGAATCTACACCCAACACATGCAATAGGAATGATTCATCACTCATACCTGAAACATGGAATATATTACTCCCAATCAAATCAAGTGAGAATCAAGTGAAAAACAATGGAACTATATAAATGAATTTAGGAAGTCATGTGATCACCTTGATATGATTATGAGCAGTAATAAATTGTGCTCGAAACGTCATCAGTATAAACATTACTGTATAACACTGTGAGACTTTTTCGAAATAAAATTTACCCATAATGGAACCTACAGCTGGTTTACATGGGGTATTCGGATGTGAAACCTCCAATGAAGTGAAATGACATATTTTCAAGGATTGGTTTTGTAGGGAGCATTTCATCATGATCTGACATCAGTTAGAGAACCATTGAAAAACAAGCAATGGGGTGCTGAACAGCCGACTGTTTCGTCCTAGGCTGGGACTCTTCATCAATACGCACTCACCGCCAGGGTTCGAACTCAGAACCTCCTGGTTACAAAGCGAGCTAGTAGACGACTAGGCCACTGATGAAGAGTTCCAAGCGCTGGGACGAAACAGCTGTCCAGTAGTCTACGGCTGGTTTTCCAATGGTTCTCTAACTCATGTCAGCTCATGAAATGATAAATAAGAGAATAATCTTATTTCTTTGGGAAATGCCTTACTTTCATATGTTTTCACTTGGTAAACCAACACTTCGCCCATACCAGTACCAATCCATACTGTTTCTTCATAGGAGAGAATAACAGTGACACGTTGATGGTTAAATGCGTACTCTTCTTCCTGTAAAAAGATAAGTCATAGGGATAATTTTTAGAAAAAAATAATAAATATAATTCGAAGATGTTTTTAATAATAACTGATGTAATATTAAATTGTTCACTAGTGATTGCTCTAAATGCATTCAATCCTACTCCAAAAATATGATGGAGATATGTGGATGACACTTTCACTCACAGTGTTAAAAAAACACGACATGACCGTAGCTTCTTCACATACACATAAACTCAATAGTAAAGGCAATAACATTCACATTTGAATCGGAAAATGAACAAGTAGGATTCGCCATGATGTTAGATTGTAAAATAAATCGAATAGAAGAAGGTAAACTGCACACACACTAGCGTTTATAAAAAGCCAACGCATTCTGCTAATAGATATTTAGACTTCTTTAATTCATCTCATTCGTTGTCTGTCTGTGAAGTTAGGCTTAGTTAAGTGTCTAATAAACCGAGCAATAGCACTAAGTAGTGCAACAAAAGACCTAAGTGGTGAAATGAAACTGATAGAGAAAGAAGCGTTGGTGTTAAATAACTAATCCAGAAAATTCATTAGAAAGATCAAAAGAAGTCAAAAGCAAATTAAATATAATGGTGAAACTAATAATGATAAGATAAATAAGAAAGAATCGAAGGTATCTAAAGTTTTACCATATCAGGAGGGGACATCTGAGACAATACGTAGCATTCTTCATAAAGCAGGAATTAGGGTAGCATTCAAACCTGCAAACTCCCTCAAAGAGGAAAAGCTCTGTAGGATAAAGGACCCAATTAGACAAAATGATACAGTCGATGAAGTACCTTGCAATGATTGTGAGTGTGGTCATTTACATATGTCAATCACAGCAATAGATTGGACATAGTCATGAAATTAATTAGGAGTTAGAAGGTGGGAAAATAGAGTACTTAGGTCATGTTAAAAGAACATATAGGAGGTCAAAATAACAATATGAAGATCACTAAACCAAATAACAGAGGTAATAGTGTAACAACAGAAGACAAGGGCCAGGCAACAGGTCGTTTATTAAGGAAATCAACACATTTTTATAGATTTTCATGTACATTATTATAGATTATTGTTAGCAGATAAACACAGCCTTCTGATTGGTTGTTTCTCACTGAAAGTTAATCTTTCATCTCTTTGTGGCTGTTTCTTGAATGTCAGATCATCTGTCTGCTAATTGTATCCGCCTAAGCAAAGTCTGCTGTGATTGGTTGTTGAGTCAGTCTTTGGTCTTGTTTTCACATGACCAATATTTGGGACATAAACATTGACGTAAATTACTATCTGCCAATTTTGGCTAGCAGCTGGCTCTCATCACAGTAGTACATCTACCCTGTCTGATATCGTAACAAAGTTTACAAAGGAATCGAATGAATGAAGTCAAGAATAGCATATCATCTACATCTGTAGAAGAGGAAGACAACTGTTTATCTTTCCTAGATATATTGCTTAGTCGACGACTTGATGCGTCAATAAAACCATCTATTTACAGAAAACCTACCTTGACGCGACAGTATCTTAATTTTCATAGTTTCTACCCTGTTCAGTACAAAAGAGCCTTAGTGAGTGAGGTGCCTCTTCAGTAGAATCCAATGAATATACAATGAAGACACACTTGATGAAGAAAAGAGAAAGTTGACACAAACTCTGGTTGACAATAATTATCCAGAGAAATTCCTTCAGAGACACAAAGTAGTCAGAACATCAAGACCCATTCTCCAACTTGCCACTGAGAAAGATGTGCACATCAAGCTACCCTATATGGTGTATCATAACGGCTTGATAACTAGACAAAGATTGAACGCTGCTGTTGAAAGGATCATAATAACTGAGAATGTGAAGTCGATGTATCCATCTAAGCCCCTAGAACATGCGAAAAATGATGTCAAATCCCACTGTATTTACCAATTTCCATGCACGTGTGGACACACATACACAGGGAGGACTCATCGATCTCTGCAAGCAAGGGCTTCTTTCAGAGCATACTCCTAAATGGCTTTATAAGCAAATAGAATCTTCAGAACCCGTTCATGGTCATAGCAAGAGACCTATATCCTCTATTGCGAAACACATAATAGAGACAGGAAATAAAATTGACGTTTGCACATCTATTAAGCCTATCTATAAAACGTGTTTGGAGGAGAGCGTATCCTAGAGTTAGTGGAAGCCCTAATTGGCAATCAGAGAGTTTAAATCACCTTTATGCGATCAAAGCAACAATTTTTCATCACACTAAACGTTCCTTGGTAAGCTTTGTTTTGATATCAGACAGGGTGGATGTACCATTACCTCTGTTATTTGGTTTAGTTCAGAATGAATTTGAAATATGTCACTTCCTTTGCTTATCTAGGCAGCGTTGTTTGAACTACAGGCGGAAAGGATGTGGATGTCAAAACCAGGATCGGAAAGAAAAGATAGACCTTCGTTATTCTGAATTTAGTTTGGAAATCCCCTGAACTCAACATAAACAACAAAGTTTGGATTTTCAACAAAATATTGAGTTTGTCAGTTCTGCTACACGGGTTGGAAATTGTCACTGAGCGTAACGAAAAGCATTTCCGACAGGCTGCAGACTTTAGTCACCAACTGTGTTGCTAAGCTCTATATTGAAGATGAAATGGCCAGCCAGAAAAAATTACCCTCAAGAAACTTTGGGAACCAACCAACCGGGAACCCAATGCTCAACAAATATGTAGAGGAAAATTGAGATGAGTCAGGCATACACTAAGGCGACTGTTGGATGACACAGCATACCAGGTCATCGCTTGAGCAGTACAGGAATGCGAGACGACAAATTGAGCATGTGTCCGAGGGTGATATGGAAGAGAACGCGCGAAGAGAAGAAGAAAGCCTTTGAACAATCGTAGAGCGAGCTAAAGATGGCTTCAGAAAACAGGATGAAGTCAAGATTTTGCTGTAGAAACCCTATGTTCCACTTGGAAACTCAAGAGAATAATAGTAATAATAATAAAGTCTCCCCTCTGATTTTATTCCGTTCATGAACAGGACTTACTAACAATACCATTTGGTCAATAAATCTTGCTAGTTTGAATGTGGAGCAACGGAAGTTCCAAATAATTCACTTTACAGGATCAATTTATCACTCATACTATAAAAACCATGATGATTATGTCATCATCACTAATATAGCACTCCTGTGCGTCGGTAGCACAGTGGTTTGGACGCTCGCCGACTATGCACATGGTCCGGGATTCGATCCCTGGCCACCGACGCACTCCTTTACCTCGTCATACCAGTAATAAAAAGCCGGTAAAGAGGAAAGGTTGGGCATGAGGCTAGCAACCTTATCCTGTAAAAGTAAAACACTGCTACAGAAACTTCAAGCCAATAGCTTGGAGCCCTATGTTCCACTGGGAACGTGAAGGAAAAAACAACAACTAATAAAGTTGATAAAGGAAAAAGGAGAGAGAATTAAGTGCAAATAGTTTAGTAAACTTACAGGTCTTCGACTAAGGTAAGTTTCATTGGCAATATTAAATAAAAGAATACGTGTCAGTCTGTTTGGATCCCATAATTCAATTACTGAACTTCCACGAACTGCAATCCATATACCATGCTCATCTAAGCATAATTTTAATATTACATCCAATGGATTATTCGATATACTGATTTGTTTGTAAAAATCCATTGTTCTAAAATAAAAATATACATAGTACAGTTGGAACACAGATTTATTAATTATTAGAGGGCAATTTTACAATGAAGAAATAGTTAAGCAATTATCATTAATTGATGCTAAAATAGATGGGTAACAATGGGACTCGAACTGGACACCTTACAACTAGTAATCAGGTACCGTAGCATCTGAACAGCTAGATTAAATAGTTATCTCACGGTTATTCTAATGAGATGTTGAACTGGTTAAACGTTGGGTGTCGTAGTTCACCTAGTATGACACCAAACTGATTACTTGATGACTATTGATTAGGATCATGCATAGATCGAAATTTTCATTTTGCTCTCAACTCTTGTTAATTAGATCAGCTATCATGAGTTGAGGCAAAAGACGATAATTAACTATAATCATAAAGTAATTGTCAATTCTGACTGACTGGTTTCAACACAGAACTACTTTGCACCGATGTGCAGCAGTTCAGGTCGCCACACTTCACTGAGCACAAACAGCCATAGAAGAAAAACGTAAAAAGAAATGCAAAATAGAGACAGTAAACAGAGATATGAGGCAAAAAGAATAGTAATATTGAAGAACAATATAGTTTTATTGGGTATTATAAGTCACAAGGAGTGAATGTATCTGCGCTGTCATTGAGAACAATTTTGAGCCATATCACCGATTGTCTCCAGCCACTGGTTTTTACCATCCCGAGGACCTCAATCAGTAAGTCAGGCAGTCTACACCTTCCTACGTAGCTGGCTTAAACTAACTGTTGTGGGTTTCATTGACTGATGAAGCCATGTTTCGGTTTGACCACCACTGGCTCTTTTTCAACCTGACCCTATGTCAGCTAACATTGTCTGTTGTCGAGGAAGGCGATGGCCACACATGCATGCATAATACATGTCCTAACCATCTCACTCAATCGATGTAACTGTTTCACAACCTCGTCGATTGATTTCCCCTCCCACCTACCTAGCACTTGACCGATGCCCAACTTCAGTATTGCTCAGCCTATTCTACCATTTCACTCCGAAGGTGGAACGCAGGCACCTATAATCAAAGACAGCTAACCAGCCTTTTCATGTCTTCCACTATCAACGGCCATGTCTTGCCGTAAAGGAGGACGGAGTGGACTGGATTAAATTGTATGAAGAAGGATAAGCATATATTACTTCGACAGCCTATTCATTATTACATTTTTCTAACCAGGTTCGAACCCTGGCAGTGGGTGAGTACTACGAACAGTCCTAAACTAGGACAGTCCCAAACAGTTGCCCAGTACTCCCAAGTTTCCAGTGGTTCTCTGACCGATGTTAGCTCACGATGAAATCCTGTAACCAATCAATCAGTCAAAATCTCTACAAACCAATACTTGAAAAGCCAGTTTAATTTCGTTCGAAGAAGCAGTAATTTTCAATTTGTCCCATTCTGAATTATTTTCATTGGAGTTAATTTCACTAACTTTTGCATTAATTAAATTCATTTACAGCGCCTAAGAAATATCAAGTCTTTAAGGGAATAAGTATGAAAAACTGGTCGATTGTTTCATAAGTGGGTGCGTACTGCCGATGATTCCCGAACTAGGATGAAACAGCAGCTATCCAGTACTCCCTGGTTTTCAGTGGTTTTCTAACTGATATCAGTCCGTGATCAACTCGTAATGTTAATAAACTACGGCACGAACATTCCCATTTTTCCCTACTAAATGAAGTACTCATATTTTAACATAATTTCGTTAGATCTCAGTTATTTAAAAACCATATAAATTAATATAATATATAACTGGGAAACACATGCAAGGTTAAAAGTGCAGATTTTTGTTGGCAGATGATATCTACCTGGATCAGTGGACAGCTATTTCACGAAATTGTGACGAAAGTTTAATTACATGATTTCATCATGAACTAATATCAACTAGAAAACCACTTGAAAAACAACAGTGTATACTGTACAGCTGTTTCGCCCTAATTTGGGACTCTTTATCGGTACGCTACCACCGGAGTTCGAACCCAGGACCTTCCGGTTGCAGGTCAAGCTCGCAGACCATTCAGACAGTGGGACCGCATCCAACTTCTACCAATTCACCATGTAGCGTGACTGGCACTAGTCACTGTTATCCACGGAGAGAATTTCTCCTAACATCAGATCTGTTGTATCCCAGTGATCACGATTTCTCACTGGAACCCAGGTAAAAACCTACCTGAATAGAACAAGTCTTTAGCTCAGTGGTGTGTGTACTATGCAGCTTCGTTTCTGACATCTATGAGCTGACTGAATGTAGAGAAGAGTCCCAAACTGAGACGAAACATCTGTTTAGTACTCAGTAGTTGTAGACCTTATATTCAGAATTTCTTATATTTTCAAGGTATTAGTTAGTGGTCGACTTGTTGACATTTAGCCTATCACTTACTTACCAATCAATTTATGAACACTAATCGAATAATTCAGCTTACTTATTAAAGTCAATTACTCTTCAAATTTACTCTGACAAGAATAAGACGACTTTTCAAACTTCATTTTCTGAGTGAAATGAAATGTACTGCATGGATTACAGTTACCATGTACTAGAAGTCTGCACTATGCAGTATGCTGCTCGTGGCTGTTTGTGTAACACTAAATGATGATGAAGTTAGAATTCATAGGCCAATGAGTCACGTCTAAATGGCTAAATGGTCTACAAGCTTGACTTGTAGCTGGAAGGTTGTGGTTTTGAATCGTGGCGATGGTTGCGTACTTTCGATGAGTCCCTAACAAGGACGAGACAGCTATCCAGTACTCCATGATTTTCAGTGGTTCTCTAACTGATAACAATCCATAGTCAAACTTAAAACTAAGTGATTTAATCGGAGTAGAGTTTCGAATCGCGCTGGACTTACCCCTTCCAAGGATGGGATAGATTTACGCAATTAAAAGGTTTCCCATAAATGCTCTATTTCAATGCAAAGTTTAATCAATTGACATAGAACAAATACACATATAGGTATATAATAAAGACTAACTTGGCATGAAATATAAATATAGAATTGCCACTGGCACACCATAATTGATGTCTTGCTAATAGTACAGAAGAAATTGGTATAAAACTGATGGTAATGTAGTAGAGAGAATCTAATGGTTCTTCATATCCAACATTCTACAAAATTTTTAAAAAAGAGTAAATTAATGGTGAGTTCACTTTATAACAAATTTACTAATGTGCGTTTCAGATAAAAGCTCAGGAATCCATATTATTAAGTATTTATTGGACTGTTAGTACACATTGTCGGCTTGCTTAAAACTTGGGCTACCGGAAACCTCCATCAAAATACCGTATATAATTCCTCTATGACTGCCCCACTGGGTGACGCGGGTCCGAATCCCAGAAGGGACATGAGTTCCTTCATGGTGACAGATCCGCCCTGCTGACGAGTGCCAACTAACACGAAACCTAGGTGAAGCAAGGCTTCCTGTGACCGATTGCCTCCAACCATCTAATATCATCAAATCAATGTGCACCATGATGGCGAGCTACCTAGTGGAATGGTGGCCACATTGCAAACCTGACTGACTGATAGAATTCAGTCTGCACCAAAAGAAAGGACTAGACACATCACACTAGTTACTGACTAGTGTCCAATCAAAAATATCCTCTTATTCAGTTTGTTTAAATCTAGTAATGTATAACCTCTAACCGAATTGTTTACTCTGGTGAGTATTTAAAACATTCTCAGCCTGCTAATTCACAGGATTCTACTAAACATGACAAAAAGCGCTATCCTCGATGGCAGCTTATCCCAATACATTACACGACTGTTCCTCATTGGTGTTCTTGGTTCATAATAATGTGCTCCTCAACTTTATGTAATTGACATTCAACAAAAATGGAGTCGTGTATTTCTCGAAGCAGAGAAAGAAGAAATATCATAATGGTGGATTGGTTTGAGCTTCAGGTCAGAGAGAACTGTGTCACACGATCTGCTGTCAGTCAATTAGTCCTTTTTTGTTTTGAAGATCTAGGACGACGAAGAGGAAATATCATGCAATAAACTCCGGTGGAAATTCTGTACATCATATAAACACTCTTCAGAATGAAGCCATTATTATTATTGCATTGTTTGATACTTTGTATAAGAAAGTTAACCAAGAATAAGTCAGTTTTTGATTCGTCCACGAACTTTTCAATCTCCTAATTGTAGATTGCATTTGCCCATCTTTAGATAGCCATCTACATCGGGGCAACTGAATATCTTCCATGTTCAAAGGAATGATGTACACTGTTAGGGATGAAATTTCGTTAGAGCTGTTTTTAAAAAAATCGATATCATTTACATCATGATCTACATGATCTATTCTGTACTATGAATGATGTCATAGTGGCCAGCACTAATGCGTCATAACACAAACCATTGTTTGACAAGAAAGAGTAGTAGTATTCATATCGGTACAGTTGTCTGAGCATATTATTTTTTTTCCTTCACGTTCCCCAGTGAAACATAGGGCTTCAAGCTAGTGGCTTGAAGTTTCTGTAGCAGTGTTTTGTTTGCAGGATGGGGTTGCTAGCCGGCCTCATGCCCAACCTTTCTTCTTCATCAGTGTTATTTCTGGCTTAGCGAGGTAAAGGATTGTGTCTGTGGCCCGGGATGGAACCCTGGACCATGGGCATGGTCGGCGAATGTCCTAACCGCTATGCCACCGACGCACCTGAGCATATTAGGTTCACTAGATTTTAAACCTACGAGCAGTCAATCATTATCTACCAAAAAAGTGAAGGTAAGTACGTTTACTATCACGATTAGGCTGAAAACGAATCTAAATAGCATTGATGGTAAGCAGTTAGGGATAAATTTTATTAACTGAGTTGATGATAACTATCTCATGAACTCTTACATAAATTGGAGGATCTAGACTTCGCCGATGATATATGTCTGATTTCCCACAAACTGGAAGATATGCAAGCGAAAAGCGACAAGTTTGCAGGAGAAGCATCCAGAAAGGATAGGACTTCCTTCAGGTGAACATAGAGAAAACAGAGGTAATGAAGATTCCTGGACAAGAACAACAACAACAGACAACGACCAGCATAAATGTAAGGAACCTGAAAGAAACAACCTACTTTACCCACCTGGAAAGCATCGTCTCAACTACAGGCAGACGGAACTGACGAGGATATCAAAGCAAGAATCGGAAAAGCAAGACAAGCTTTCACTACTCTCAAGTCTGTGTGGAGGTCAACAGCACTCACCATCAAAAATCATCAAGATCCGGATTTTCAACTCCAATATGAAGTCAGTCAGTGCTACTCACTATACGGATCAGAGACTTGCACTGCGCTTCATAAAGAGCATCTCAAACAAACTACAGACCTTCATTAACAGCTGTCTTCGCTCAATACCACTCAAGATCAGATGGCTAGCCAGAAAAGATCAGCAACAGAGATCTCTGGCTATGAGTGAACCAACTCAGCAGGAACCGATTGTGAAACAAATAGGCAGGAAGAAATGGAGATGGATTGGCTGGCCATACTCTGAGGAAACCATCAAGTGACATCACTAGACAAGCCATTGCTCGAGTGGAACCCGAAAGGGAAGCGGCGAGTTGGTCGTCAGTGCAAGGGTGACTTGGTGGAGGTCACGTGAAGGGGAGATGAATGCATGTGGGCAGACATGGAGCCAGGTGAAGACTCTAGCAAAGAACCGGACGCAATGGAGACGCACGGCTGAAGCCCGATATTCCTCTAGGAATTAAAGGAAACAATAATAATAATAATACATAACTGCATCAGACTTCGTTGACATAAATGACTAATACAAAGTATATCTCATCCTTGACGGTACTTTTAAAGTTACTATGACGTATACGAGCAACTCATCACGTAAAATAATTATGGTCACTGAAGTTTGCAAAACTCCTGGATCACACAGACATCCAGGATTGATTTAATTATTTAGTCATAAAGAATAACTCAAACGTGTATGTATTTATAGTGGTTGAAAGTGATTAGAAGGAAACTTTGAACCTGACTATTTGCGCTTATTTGTACACATCAACAAGGCGTGTCCTCAACCTGGAAGGAATTAATGTCTTCTCAGAGATTCAAAACCTCGTCATCAATCAATGCTGCATTAAAAGAGACGTTAACACTGTATGGACTGTAAGGACGCCTTTTTGGAGTGTAGGGTTTTCTACGAACCGATATAACTGTTACAGAGTCACTTTCAGCTTCGAGCTTATTCAAATGATTTAATAATGTACTTCTTCAAAACAATTGAAAATCAACAGGTGCTGGACAGCTGGTCATCCAGTAGTCTTAGACTTCTAGACAGTTGCATTTTACAACACCGCAAGAAGATAAACTGACAGTTTGTAGCATTCATTATATCCTTAGTTAATCAGTCGGTGCGTCGGTGGCACAGTGGTTAGGACTCTCGCCGACCATGCACATGGTCCGGGGTTCGATCCCCTGCCGACGCACACCCGATATCTATGGTCGGCCTGCAAAATTCGGGCTACCCATATCACATGCTGAAAATGCCATACTTCTACTGAAAATACGGTGTGGCATCAAGCTGTAATCAAAATAAGATATAAATATAAAGAACTCAGCGATTTCCAGCATCCCAATATGTATTACATTTTTTCATAGTCAGCCTAAGTCATTTGTCAGCGTGTGAGCTGACATTTAAATTAGTTAATGTCATCGCTTACTGCTTATCATTCCTGACTCCTAGAAGTAAATCTTAATTAAGTCCAGCGTTGTTCTGTTTCACTCACAGAGATAATGGCTAAAATTTCATTGATAATCAATCCTTTATGAAAAGAAAACTGATATGAGAAACACTTCATACCCTTACATCCATAGGATACATCAGACTTCAATAAAAACGTATAACTTGGGCACTGTGATAGTATGTAATTCCATATTAGTTTGTTTAATTAGATGGGCGTACTACTAGACAGCTTAGCCAGCCAACGTGTTAGTGAACATCTCCCATCGTGGTGGTTTGACAATTTTCTCACATTTAATTGATAGTGGTTATGTAGTGGAGAAAACGAGGGCTTTCAAAGTAGTTCAACGTATCCCACCGAATCTTTCAAATAGACTTCGTATTCGTCTACTGCACACAGCTTGGGCGATAGGCATTCGAACTATTAAACCCAAACTATGCATTCAAAAGAAGTTCGTACAGCCATTATCCCTCCCTTATTGGCCTATTAAGACATAATCAACTAATGACTTTCAAACTACCTCTTACTTGCATTTCCACGCTCTGTCTTATCATCCCTTAATCTTATTACATCTTCATTAAAAACGTGTCTCATTTACTTCCCTTACAATCTAACATTACTTAATCGGTTCATTTGTTTTTACCAGCCTTTATCAACTACTTCCACCTGAACAGTTGTTTGTTTAATCATGCTGTTTTTCATTATTCGTGTTATCACAGATAGCCTCACATTTTAATCCTTATTATTGATAAGACCATTATTATTATCATTACTACTATTAGGACTAACTGTAAAATTTATATTCACCATCTTATTATCTAATAGACAAAACATCATGATTGGTTTATATTTGAATTTTTATTTGTAAAGTTATGTAGGTATATTAGAGTTAAGCCTGATGAGATCTAATTGAAACCACAATTTTGTTCGCTTAAATATATCGTTCTAAATTTTACTAAGGGAATATTTAATATATTAATTAGATGTATCACACAGTGAAACAGTGTTATTGTTCACTGGATGACAAAGTTTATTGTTCATAATCATATCATCAATTATAATCACACGACTTGAAAACTTGACTTTTATAGTTAGTTTTCTTTGTTCTCTCGTATTTGTCGTTGTTGGGGTAGTAGAATTCCCGATCATCCCATCCTATGTCAGTGAAAATAGTATTGGTGAAATATTTAAATAATAGAGCACAAAAACTAAGTAGTACCAAAGAAAATCTAATACAGGAAGTGAGGCATATAAGAGAAGCTTTGAAACTTAATAATTACCCTGATAAATTAGTCAGAAAGTATGTAGGGAAAATAAATAATGATAGTAGTGATAGTGATAATAATAATAATATTAATGACGACATGCATGTCAAACATAATGACAACACCAACCATAAGGAATCTAAATCATCAGTAGTAATTCCATACAAAGAAGGAACCTCGAAAACCTTACGCAGAATTCTTAACAAGACAGGCAGAAATAAAAGTGGCTGGCATTCAAACCACCCACAAACTCAATTAGAAACAGGCTTTGTCGGTTAAAGAATCCTGTGGAGTCTATTAAACAAAGCAGTTTAGTTTATCTAATACCTCAGCTGTAATGATTGTCAGGTCAAATACATAGGTCAAACTAGTAGAACAGGGGCAGTCAGACTAGACGAGCATAAAAACCTAGCAGCAAAATCTAGATTAGTTGATCCGAATAAGATAAGAAATCTAGAGAATAGTTCAACCTTAGATAGCAGTCACTACATGCAATTACACACAACCATAAAATAGGATGGATGGGATAGGATGACAGTTTTAAAATCTAATATAACAGCTGGGTGGAGAGAGAGATTGATAACAGAAGCGTTGTTTATCGAATCAACTGCAAATACATGTAATAGGAATGATTCAACACCTGTCTAGCCGGATATCTGGAAAATTCTACTATCTCAACGACGACAAATAGGAGAGAACAAAGAAAAATATAAAAAGTCAAGATTCGAAGTCGTGTGATTATAATTGATGATATGATTATGAATAATAACAAATTTTGTTCGAAACTGTGTCATCGAGTAAATAATCATACTGTTTCTTCACTGTGTGATACACCTGGTAAACAAACTAATATGGAATTCAATAAAAACGTGTGAAACATACCTCTATAACAACCAGTTCACCATTTGTTAAGCCAGCGTATACTTTATTCGTGTGATCATGCGGAAAGTAAGCAGAAGTTAAATCCATGACACTGTCATGGATAGGAATTTGCCAAAGTTTTGCACTAAAATTTTTTATAAAAGTAACAATAAGTGTCAAGTCTGTTATTATTTTAACTGAAAAAAAATTAAAAATAATATCTATATTTTCCTATTTTATTATACAGATTAAGTGTACCTCAGGCAATCACTAAGACGACAAATGTTGCTATTGATTTGATTCAGGTATTTACAGTGACTGAACTAATTCTACGAAATACCGCAACTGATTGAAGATGTTTACAGGTAGACAATTGTGAGCAGTGAGTATTCATTCTAAATATATTTCTGGCAGAACCTGATCTGATGGAAAACCAGTTAAAAGTAGAGAGGAGTCCAAGACTAATTCTGCAGTCTTGATGAATGGATTCCGGAAGAAAGAAAAACACCCAACTGTAGAAAAGAAGAAAGTGTTTATTTGTCTCCCATTCAAAGGAGATGCAGTGTCATAAAAGACTGACAAAAGAATGAAAGGTGCGATAAAAAAGAAGCTTCTCTGCAGCTTAACTCAAAACATTATACAGCACTACATCTTCTATAAGCCAATCAAAACTGGATAAATACCCTACTGATGTCACCTCCAACTGCATTTATGAATTTAGATGCAATTGCGGGAGCAAGTACATTGGAAGGACGGAAAGAAGGGCTTCTATCCGGTTATCTGAACATATTCCAAGAAACCTGTGCCTGAAAGGAAGCAAATATTCTCAGAGTGCAATTACCAGACATATTGTTGATACCGGTCATCTCGTAGAGATTTCTAAGTCCTTCAAAATATTCAATAGACAAAGGACAGCAAATTTACTACGATTTGCCGAAGCGATCACAATCAAACGATTCAAACCAACCAGACTTATGCATACAGAAATTCAGTGGTCTCAACTCACTGAGCAAATCTCAATCTTATGAACTGTAACCACTTGTTTTTTGAGTTGCTATGTGAACCTACAAGCTAACACTGCTTGTTAATTTTTTCTGTTTTCTGTCTTACTCCTCCACTCCCCTCTTTTTTCTACTTTAGAAGCGTATAAATTGATGATGAAAACTTAAACTAAAAATTGTAATTCTTACTTTTTGGATGCGTCATTTTTATAGTATTTCATCTCTACTACCACTTAAACATTAGAGTATGTTATTATCAATCTATATAGCCATTGTAATTTCAGGTAGTGGTGTGCAGCTGATGAGAACCTGTGAAATAGAATGACGACATCATCTTATACTGCAAACGTTGACTTCCTTTCTTTATCGGAATCCGGTTTTGTAAGGCAATAAAGCCATGTTGTTTCGATTTCTTTATTTTTCACCCCTGTTACTCCACGATATAGTACTACAGTGGTTCTTTGGTATTGGGGAAAAAGTCCTCTGACCTACTAATCAGTAGGGAAGTTCTGTTTTTATTACTTTGGGTTTACCGATATTTGCTTCTTCTTTAGACAAATTTACCTAGTTGGCATCTATTCACGGAAAAAATTCACCTTAATGTTATTATAATCTTCATCAATTATGTATTTTGATTTCTGACATCTGTGAGCCCAGTGCTAGTACAGAAGAGTCCCAAGCTAGGATGAAACACCTGTCTAGTACTCTTTCGTTATCAGTGACTCTTTACCTCATGCCGATTTGTGATCTAAATCGTTTTACAGATAACCCAAGACTTCAATGCATTTCAAAGTTATCTTTGTCTTATATACTGACTGACAGGTTAATTTGAAAAGAAAAAAAGAAAAACGATTAAACTAAACCCATATAGCTTATCTTATCTTTACTCCTTGAATAATTAAGCACAAACACAGGAAACTGTATTGAGCAACTCACTTTTGACTAACTGAATAAGCGCATAATTGTTTTGACATCATTCCGAGTAGAATAATTTCATTACTGAATGCCCAAATACAGCTAACACGAGAGTCTAACTGAAATTTACAAGTAAAGTAAACAATAAAATATGCGTATATGTACATCGGGTTTTTAATCTGTGGAGATAAGACTTATTTTAAGATAGATTACTACACAAGTGTTTATATTAAATTATTCTCTCAAAGTGACCTTCTCTTCAGTTAGAAAAGCTTCACATTTCTACGAAAAATCAATAGATTTACAAATATGATATGAATATATATGTGAGGAAAAGTTCATAAAGTATCCTATTTGAATAATTATATAATTCAAGTCAAGTATTGGTTTGTAAGGGTTTGTTTTGATTGTTCACAAGATTTCATCATGAGCTGACACTGGTTAGAGAACCAGTGGAAAACCACCTGAGATTACTGACAGCTGTTTCATTCTCGCCGGAATTCATTAACTGGCCAGTGGATAAGGTCCCACTGGTTGCTGAATGGTCTACGAGCTCGCCTGTTAAATCTCTCCCGTTGATGGTGATTTGTGCCACTGGTTGTTGTTGCTGTTGACGGTGGTTGGTTATCTTCATCACCTTCGTCTTCTCTGTGTCCAGCTCCAGTCTTGTTTTCGCTGTCTGCCTCTTCAGCCGGTTTGTTGGTTTCCGCTTGCAAGTCCTCGAGTTTGTGTGACATTAGATATATTTCATCGACGCGCGAAATCCAGATCTTCTAGAGTCTTCTTACCGGTCGTCCAATGTACTCTTCTCTCCTTGCTTCCAACGCACAGTCTGACACATAATCCAGTCCACCACAATGAAGAATATCATCGGCGATAATAGACAGCCTGCCTTGTCTTACTCCTGTATTCACTTCAAAGTCTTCGCTGATTTTTCCGTTGTGGATCACCTGACATGTGACACTGTCATATAGCCAGTTGTTGAATGAGGTTGATAAAGACTGTGGCACTGCACTCCATAGTGTTGAAGTAGCTTCCGAATTACCTGTCGGTCAACACTATCAAAGGCCTTTTTGAAGTTGATGAAACTGAGGTGGACGTTTGATTGCCATTCTATGATTTGTTCGATGATGATGACAGTGCGTAGAGTTGCAATTTGATCAGCACATGATTTACCTTTCCTGAATCCATCTTGTTGTGGTCGGTGAGGTGGAGTTCTGTATCCAGTGCATCTTTTATTCTTTCCAAAATGATACGACTTAGTATTTTACTTGACGTGGAGAAGAGCGTTTTTCCACTCCAGTTGTTGCAGAGGCCTATGTCGGCTTTCCTTGGTAGTTTGACGAGGTAGCTAGCCTTTCTTCCAATCGGTAGACACCTCTCCTTCCTCCCAAACCTTTAGCAATAATGGCGCCAGAATATGTGTTGTAGTCTGTGGGGTCAGTTTTCAGTGCTTCGGGATGGGGGAATTCCTTCTGTTCCTACTGCTTTTCCGGGCTTGGTGTGGATTTTTTGCCTGTCCAAATATTTTTTGAATAAATCAATTGTGAGTGTACTGACACCACTTCTTTTTTCGGAGTCCATTCTAGGAGCTTCTGACACTGTTGTTAGAACCAGTACTCCATAAAGATTTAAATTCTATGTATAAGTTGAGGCAGATGCCATACTGATATTATCTTTCAGCGTGTTAAACCCAAGTGAAAAATACGTAATCTATTAGTAACGAGTATGTAAGGCGACATAAAACTTCAAAATATTCCTCAAAGTAGAAAGGTTACAATGAAAAATGAAGTTAACAGGAGTCGACTTACTTCATAACCGATACTCTGCATACAGTTTGTTGGTACAACAACTTCTGATATCTGACTGTATGATTTATCGCCATGACATATCCACAAGTGTTCTATAAAGAAAAGGATAGATACATAATGTGCTGTTATGTTTCATATAACTCAATTAGTCTAATGTTGTAGGAAAAAAGATGACTTCTGAGTCCAAGATTCAGTGGAAGCATAATGACGCAGTGGAATAAAGATTTGTCAAATTAGCGATAAAATTTCGTGGCCTATGTTGAGCTGTTAGTCACCACCTACTAGGTGACACTAAAAGGATTACTTTTTATTCAACTAGGTAGGGTTGTTTATTTTTTCCAACTATCATTTAACTGGATTGAGGATTTCATCATGAGCTGACATCAGTTAGAGAACCACTGGAAAACCAACAGTGGAGTACTGGACAGCCAACTATTTCGTACTAGTTTGGAACTCCTCAGCAGTACGCATCCACCACAGGGGGGCTTGAACCAAGGACCTCCTGGTTACAAGGCTAGCGAGCTCGTAGACCATTGAGCCAGGTTGAAGATGAGGCAGTAGCTCATCAAAGAAGACATTGCGAAATGATCGCACTATGTCGTGAATTGGCAGAAGTTAGAATTCATGGGCCATGGGATTCGGTCTCAGTGGCTTAATGGTCTACGAGCTCGCTAGCCTTGTAACCAGAAGGTCCTGGGTTCGAGCCCCCCTGTGGTGGGTGCTTACCGCTGAGGAGTCCTAAACTAGGACGAAACAGATGGATGTCCAGTACTCCCAGATGGTTTTCCAATGGTTCTCTAACTAATGTCAGCTCATGATGAAATCCTTCAACCAATCAATCAAACAAAATCCCTACAAAACCAATACTTGAAAATTATTATTATTTAACTCTTAATTAGTTATGATTATGATTCGACGTTGACCAGGTAATCAAATGAAAAGTACAAAACACTTGGTGATTATTGTTATCAGGTCAAAGACCCTTTCATAGCATATAATTATAATACCGTAAGTAGAAGAAGTCGCATTTAATTGTTGAAGGGTAAATCCCTACTTCTTAAAACCTGCCATTGTAGTATATTGGTGAGTTGATGGGACTGGCCAGCATAATTCGTGTATAAATTGGCTCGTTAAATAAGTTGCAGACTTTGAAATAACGTTTAGAGCAAAAGCACAAAGGGATATATATGTTGAACGTACTGAACAAAATGCTTACTAATCATAGGACGAAATATTAACAGATAATAATAATAATAACAATCATTTGAACAGTTACTTGTATAAAAGGACCTTTGAAACACTAAGTATTAGCAACAGCAAAAGTTTGCAAGAATAAACTTAGGTTAATAGCTATCCCCTTAAATTATAACCAAAGTTAAGAGGTAATTTAAAACGATTAGATATAATAGAGAAGATTTGTAGCTCAGGTGGATGATTTTGGTGTGGTTGTGTTCTCTGAGCTGGATGGTTTGGTTGCGAAGCTTTCATTGCTCTACTGAGCAACATCTTCAGTGCATACTTCGATGTGAAGTGAGCTTTTAGAATTCTCTATGAGTTTATTAATCATCTCTTCTAGTAACCTTGAACGTGATTGGTTGTTTTCGTGTGACATTTCATCCCCTAGTTTGCTTGTCTCGGTGCTGGCTGCTTCTTTGGTCTGAATGTCGTTAGTCATTCCTTCTGCCAACGTTGAACGTGATTGGTTGTTTTTGTGTGACTTCTCACTTTCTACTTCACTTGTTTTGGTGTTGACTGTTTCCTTGACCTGAAGTTTGACTTTGTTTTTGTGTGAATTTCTTCGTATGGATTGGTATATTTTGTCAATCTCTATGTGTCTATTGATTGCTGATTCATTTGAATACCAGGCCTCTAGGAATTCTCTGGCATTTTTGCAGTTCCCTTTGTCTAAGATTTGAACATTGTCCCAGTCGAATTGGTGCCCGTGGTTGTCTGCATGTAGTGATATGAGGGAGTGTATGTCGTGTCTTTTGACAGCTAGTTTGTGTTCGTGAATGCGAAGACGAAGAGGGCGTCCACTTTGACCAATGTAATGTTTGTCGCAGTCGTTGCAACTTATCTTGTAGATGACGTTAGTTTTGTCTTCTTTTGCCGTTGAGTCCTTTGGCTTACATAGAACTGAGTGTAGTGACTTTGTTGGTTTATGAGCGACATCGATTCCAAAAGGTTTGAATAGTCTTGCAGTGATTTCGGAGATATCTTTTATATATGGTAGGACGACTTTCTTTGTGTTTTCGCTGGTGGCCTTTGATTTGGTTGGTTGAGCTGGGGGTAGATGTCTTTTGATGAAGTTTCGTGGGTATCCATTTCTTTGGAAGACGTCCATAAGATGATTTTCCTCAATTTTCCTCAAGGCGGGAGTGCTGCAATGAGTCCTGGCTCTCTTGAACAATGTACGTATGCAGCTAATTTTGTGTGATGTTGGGTTGTTACTGTTGTAATTGAGTATTTGATCCGTGTGCGTTGGTTTTCTGTAAACTTGGGTTTCTAATTTTCCTGTAGTTGTTCGTTTGATTAAGACGTCTAAGAATGGGATTTTGTTTTCATATTCTTCTTCTCTTGTGAATTTGATGTCGTTGAAGGTGTTGTTTATTATGTTGTGGGTATTGTCTAAGTTTTCTCTTTTGATTATCACGAATGTATCATCTATGTAGCGTATCCAAATTTTCGGTTTGATCTTTGGCAGAATTATGTTTTCCAGTCTTTGCATGACGGCTTCCGCAATCAATCCTGATATGGGTGATCCCATAGGTGTCCCTTGAATTTGTTCGTACATTTGGCCGTTGAATTGGAAATAAGTTGTGAGACACAAGTTTATGCATTCCATCCAACTTGAATGCAGCATTTTTGATTGTTGTATGTGTTCGTCGTTGTTGAGTAGTTGTTCCATGGTTTCTTTTGCTAGTTTTAGTCCAATCGAAGTATATAATGCCATGACGTCGAAGGATACCATTATTTCTTGGCTGTCTATTTCAATGCCTTTGATTTCCTCTAAAAATTGGGTCGCAGATTGGATGGAGTGATCACATGATTTCGTCAAGTGTTTCAGTCTTCTGTATAGTTCTTTGGATAAATTGTATGTTGGGGTTCCTGGGAGTGATACGATTGGTCGTAGAGGTATATTTGGCTTGTGTATTTTTGGTCTGCCGTAGAATCGAGGTATGACGGGTCCATTGGATTGCGTAGTCAATTTATCAAAACAGCCGCTGTCAAAAATGGAACAACAACTACTTCAAAAAGGATTAAACTACAACACTGAAGACGCCTCGAAAACAGACTTCTTCGCTGCTCTTGAATCAACACTCAAATCATCAAATTTAAGTGAAGAAACACAAGAAGAGATACGTCAAACAATAGTACCTATAGTTAAACAAAGAAAACGACACACACAACTCAACTCACAAGAACAAAAAGCCCTCAAAAGACTGAAAAACAGGAAAGACATCGTTATAGTACCAGCTGACAAAGGAAGGACTACAGTAATCATGGACAAAGAAGAATACACTGCAAAAGCGGAAGAACTACTCAAAGATCAAACAATATACCAACAACTAACAACAAACCCCATCGAAACACTAAACAACCGCATCCAAAGAACCCTAAGCAAACTCACCAAAACGGGTCAGATCACAAAAGAAGATCAATGGCGAATGAAATCCAATGGACCCGTCATACCTCGATTCTACGGCAGACCAAAAATACACAGGCCAAATATACCTCTACGACCAATCGTATCACTCCCAGGAACCCCAACATACAATTTATCCAAAGAACTATACAGAAGACTGAAACACTTGACGAAATCATGTGATCACTCCATCCAATCTGCGACCCAATTTTTAGAGAAAATCAAAGGCATTGAAATAGACAGCCAAGAAATAATGGTATCCTTCGACGTCATGGCATTATATACTTCGATTGGACTAAAACTAGCAAAAGAAACCATGGAACAACTACTCAACAACGACGAACACATACAACAATCAAAAATGCTGCATTCAAGTTGGATGGAATGCATAAACTTGTGTCTCACAACTTATTTCCAATTCAACGGCCAAATGTACGAACAAATTCAAGGGACACCTATGGGATCACCCATATCAGGATTGATTGCGGAAGCCGTCATGCAAAGACTGGAAAACATAATTCTGCCAAAGATCAAACCGAAAATTTGGATACGCTACATAGGTGATACATTCGTGATAATCAAAAGAGAAAACTTAGACAATACCCACAACATAATAAACAACACCTTCAACGACATCAAATTCACAAGAGAAGAAGAATATGAAAACAAAATCCCATTCTTAGACGTCTTAATCAAACGAACAACTACAGGAAAATTAGAAACCCAAGTTTACAGAAAACCAACGCACACGGATCAAATACTCAATTACAACAGTAACAACCCAACATCACACAAAATTAGCTGCATACGTACATTGTTCAAGAGAGCCAGGACTCATTGCAGCACTCCCGCCTTGAGGAAAATTGAGGAAAATCATCTTATGGACGTCTTCCAAAGAAATGGATACCCACGAAACTTCATCAAAAGACATCTACCCCCAGCTCAACCAACCAAATCAAAGGCCACCAGCGAAAACACAAAGAAAGTCGTCCTACCATATATAAAAGATATCTCCGAAATCACTGCAAGACTATTCAAACCTTTTGGAATCGATGTCGCTCATAAACCAACAAAGTCACTACACTCAGTTCTATGTAAGCCAAAGGACTCAACGGCAAAAGAAGACAAAACTAACGTCATCTACAAGATAAGTTGCAACGACTGCGACAAACATTACATTGGTCAAAGTGGACGCCCTCTTCGTCTTCGCATTCACGAACACAAACTAGCTGTCAAAAGACACGACATACACTCCCTCATATCACTACATGCAGACAACCACGGGCACCAATTCGACTGGGACAATGTTCAAATCTTAGACAAAGGGAACTGCAAAAATGCCAGAGAATTCCTAGAGGCCTGGTATTCAAATGAATCAGCAATCAATAGACACATAGAGATTGACAAAATATACCAATCCATACGAAGAAATTCACACAAAAACAA